ACATCTTTCAACTTGGCTGAAATCACGAAACTTTGCCGCCTTTTATCAATTCTACAAGTGGTAAGCACAATATGTCGAACATAGTTGCTTTTCGATACGAATGTCACTGAAAGATTTTTTTCTGCCAAAAAAAAACAGCAAACAAAATCCCAACTTTTAGAGAAAATAGATTTGCGTAAAAAGCCGCAGTAATTATGCATCAACCCAGTATATCATTCAAATTATATAAGTTGATCTTACTTGACTGGCTTTGCCAATTTCTTTATAATCTCTGAATTTTTCGTTGCAAATGCTTCTTCTGCCATGTCACCGTAGCTCAAACTGATGCGCCTAAAGCATTTATTCATCTAAGTGGCAAATCAGGGAGAAGTGTCTGACGCGATATGATCCTGGGGTATATCTAGACAAACCCTACTTAGCTAAGTCACCTGAGAATTGCAATTTACAAACTTTTCTTCCACTTCTCTTCTTTCGCTTTCCATCTCGTCAGAAGAAGCGCGCTTCACTGAACTTTTTCCCAATGCATTCTGCAAAAGTTCCACATTTACGCTTTAATTCTGTATCTTATAACAGATGCATAAATACTGCCAAGCTACTCAACTTAGAAGGATCTGTTCTCCTTGTTAGGGTCGCCAGAGGCTCAACAGTCCTTCCCTTGTCCCGTTTTCTAAAAACAAGTACAAATTGTTTTCTGATCAAGTAACTTCTCCGAAATTACATCTCTCACATTCTGCTGAGATACTGTGAGCATCTCACAATTTTCACCATAGTATGAGCATTAACAAAACCAAGACCGAATGTTAGCAGCACCCCAGTCTAAAAAGCACAAATAAATATCTAAACTGGAACCCTCATTCCCTATTCAAATGATAACAAGGCACCTAGGTCTACGTATTTAAGATCTCTAACAACCTATCCACTGTGCAGTAGAAAACAATATTGTTAAAAAATTGATGCCGACACGAATATAAGAAGCAGCTGTATGGATGAAATGTAAAAAGAATCTTTTTAGATCGAAATGATGTGCTTACCCACAGACCAGATTGTTGGAATGCTACCGGCAGCGCAAAGACACCCACGCCACACATTGCTTTCACGAGGTTAATGAAAGCATACGAACTCCTGAAAGGATAACTTTGGGACCACCAGCAGCGTGTTGTTGTTACGGCTCACCTAATCATTGGCGGTCGTTCAATCGTTCCTTTGCTGGACATCTATACCAATCACTAGAAAATGCTGAATGAATTGCTTGGTTTTTATTGTGGACTAAATGGTCAAAAATTGTTACTTGTATGTATTTCGAAAGTTTTCTTTTGGCGAAATTAACAACACCTTCGGGAACTTGTCGATTCAAATATTACGCATGATAACGAAGATGTTTGATAGTTCTGCTGCACTACTAGTTATGCTTAACCATGTTAATCCACCATCACCATCCCATGAACCGATTTTGCTGGTTTTTCTAGAACTTAAGCGAGCATCAACTTTGTTACATGAAGAATTTTACGCAAGGACAACTGGCAATAGAAAAAAAGCAAGATGTTTTAGTAAATCTTATTTATAGCCATTTGATTAATATTAGTCAAATAAGTCGAAAATAAATAGAGCTCCTCGCGGTTGAAGCATAAAGGATACTGTTGTAGAAGTGATGCAGTTGCGAAGCAGTTCATACTCTGGGGTTCGGAACCAGTTCATTTTGCTTACATTGGAAATCTTTGTCAGGTGGGAGTGTAGATTTCCTACACCACAGCACAACTATATATAAAAGTAGGTATTAAAAATGCCATAATTCATGTAATAGCTTTTAATAAGACTTAAGATGCTAATGAAGAAGGTGTCTTTCATGCTCGGGATTTTCTTCAAAATAGGTGACGATCAGAATTCACAGGAAATGCTTCATCAATTGTCATTTACTGCTTATAGATCTTTACTTATTAGTGGTTTGCTCTGTGAGAGGCATTTTTAGATCTTGGTTAAAGATAAGCTGCGTTGCTGTCAAAATCATTTGTGAAATAACGTGGATATCGTTTGGCCAGTTCTTAATGCCATAAAAATCATTTGACGAGCGACTGACTCGTAACCTGCGAAAAATTTAATGTCCCATAACCTTCTTGAACTCGCGCAAGTAATCTCAACATTGGAACATGAAGAAGCATGTAGAGATAGATCTTTTCTAACTTGCAACTTGCGAGACTGTTTTTGAGATGGCAGGCACTTTTGGCAAAAATGTGAGAAATAAGAGATAATTTAAACTGTTGCTTTATTGTTTCGCCTAGTTAAATGGCGGAGAAGGGAACAGGGAGAGGGGGACGGGAAGGAGGGGATTTTTCTCAAAAGGGCGGCCTGGTAGCAGCAGGAGAAATGAAAAATTGTTCTTCTGCATTATTTGTCGGCAAGCATGGAAGAAACTCACAATGCTATGAACAATATTAAAGCCTCAATTAGGATTCAAGCCATTGACATAAAAAGTTCTAAATAGGGAGTATCCACTAATTCATTACTTCTCAACGGGACTCAAGCGTTGCTGATAAGCGCGCTAATGTCCTACACTCAAATGTTCATAGTTATTAAAGCAAATTACAGACGTTAAATATGAATTCAGCTCCTCTACTCTGAAACATCCTTTTATATCATTTGGCAATGTTTTTACTAGAAAGTTGGAATTGAGAGGCATCAACGAGCTAAAAC